CGGCTCCTGCAGCGGCTCGGAGGCTCCCGGCATGGGCGCAGTCGGCGGAGGGGGGCCCGGCAACGGCTCCCCCTCCTGCTCCTGACAGCGGCGCTGACGGCTCACCCCGCCTCTGTTCGGAAGCCTCCTCCCCCTCGGCGGGGACCAGGCCAATAAGGGACGAGTTCAGGGTTCACGCCGGACGCAAGATCCTCCTACGACAGCCAATCAGGAGGCGAGATGCAGGACCCACCCAGCCCGCTCCCGGACCGGCCAATCAGCGCAATAAGCCGGGCTGGCTCGCGGCGGGCCAATCGACGGGCGAGGAGTCACGTCGGGAACGCGCGGGCCGAATCAGAGTCCTGGCCGTGGCGCGCGCGCGCTCCCTACCGCCGAGCCGTTTAACTGTCACGCCCGCGCCCAAGTCCGGCGCCTGCCTCCCCCCCTTCCTCTCCCCGCGCGCCTCGTCTTCCGCTGCGAGGACGCTGCCGGCTGGCCGGTCCTCGCCCCCCGACCCCCCTTCGTTTGGGCCGGTCTGGAATCCCCACGCCTCCGTTGTCAAGAAATGAAACGAAGTGGAAGCCGGTACCTTTGGGGAACTTGTTTTCTAGTTTTTACATCGCCTTCGGTTTTCGAAATTCCATGTTTGGAGAGATTAAAAAACAACAACACTGTAGCTTCTCCTTTAAGAAAAAAAGCACGGGCGTGTGGCGGGTGGTCGTCGGTGACAAAATGGTGTCTGACCAGAGGAGGCGGGACTTGTGTGAAAAACTCGCCCGTTTCCGCTCTTGAGGGTGGCACTGCGCACGCGCTCCCAGTGGGGTTATGGGAATTGGAGTTTTTTTAGTAGACTTCAGCGCTTTATCGCTGCGCCTCTGAAAGAATCCTCTACGGAAGAGGGGAAGCCTGCAGCGCGTGTGCCAAGAGCCGTGAGGTCGCTTCCGACGTGTGGCGATCCTGTGCATTAACAGTCTCCAAAACGTCCGTCGTTGGCCGCCTTGCAGATGAGGCCCGGCTTCCTTGGCGGAGTCGACCTGTCTCGTGTCGGGTCTTCCTCTTCTCCTGCTGCCGCCGACTTTTCCTGGCATTGTTCTGTCTTGCGGTGACTCTTCTCTTCTCTTCTCATACGGCGGCCAGAGAATGGCGGCCTGCTTTTTAGTGACTTTAGCTTCTAGGGAGAAGCCGGGCTTGGCTTGATCTTTGTTGTCCGACTCTTCGCGACCCCACGGACCAGATCACGCCAGGCGCGTCCGGAGTCCTCCGTCCGGAGTCTGCTCAACTTCATGTTCGTTGCCTCGACAACACTGTCCGACCATCTCATCCTTTGCCGTCGCCTTCTCCTTCGACCTTCCGTCTTTCCCAGCATCCAGGGTCTTTGGTCTAGAACCGGCTTGTTTGCCTTCTTGACACAGCCCACAGTATCTGTAGAACTCTCCTCCAGCACCACATTCCTAAAGAATCTACTTTCCTCCTGGCAGCATGTCTTCGTTCAGCTTTCACACCCATACGTAGTAATGGGGAATACCATGGCATGAATTAACCTGATCCTGATCACCAGGGACACAGCCTCACACTCAAGGATCTTTTCTAGCTCCAATCTCCCTCTGATTTCAGTCCCCTTTTGGTTGATGATGGAGCCAAGGAATAGAAAATCTTGAACAATTTCGATTTCTTCATCATCAGCCTAGTTTAAAAACGTCTGTTCTTTGTAGTGCTTTGAAGTAGCCATGTCTTCTACCAAAAAGACATGAAGGAAGTTAAATAGGTTGTCCTTTAATTATTCCTAGCAGAGATTCCTGTTCCTGACAGGGCTTCTATGTTTGTAAATGCCTCTTGGACAACCAGAAATATATGGAGATTTAGTGCTGAGAGTTTTTACCGGATGTCTTAAGTTTTAAAAACACAGGGATATGCATTATATGATTTATTTTGCTGCAGTGCTTTAAAAGCATGATCTGCACCCAATAGTAAAAACAAACAAAAAACTACAGAAGATTAACAGGTATGGGAAGGGGGTTCCTGTGCCATGCTAATTGTTAAAGGTAGAAGAAGAAGGGGGGGGGGAGGTGGTTTTATTCACAGTCTCTGACCAGAACATAAATCACAGACAATAAAATGCCTCATTGGGGCAATACAACAATAATAAAAATAGTTCACAATACAGTTTGAGCAGTGCCTCATGGTAAAATAATTCAAAATACAGTAGAATACTACAATGTCTAGTAAGAAGTTTGAAATCTCAACAATCCACTACTTGAGCTGTCACAGTTTTCCTAGGCCTTGCAGCAAGCCAGCCAAATCTCGCCACCTGGTAAGTCAGGTGATGGTGCCTCTCTGCAAGAAAGCGCCTCAGAAGGCAGGATCTCTGTCTGCTGTTTAAAGGTAATGACACAGGCAGAGGAAGGGATTCACGGATATTGTTATACACCTTACAGTTGAACAGGACATGGTCTAGCGATTCTGTGCCTTCATTACAGCAGGGGCAAATCATACTTTCCTTCAAGGACAGCTGAGGTAAGTGAGTCACAGCACATTAGCGTGAACACCCTCCTATACTCTTGATTTAATAGGTGGGAAAGGTAAGGCATAGGGGCTGCCCTCATAGTAGGTTCCAGACAAAGTCTCCCTCTCCCTATTCTATTCAAATTGTATTGCCTTGCAGTATCATTAATCCTCTGTTTGACCAAAGCCTTGGCTTTATCATAACTTAGAGAGCACAGAAATTGCTTGGAAAACCCATAGAAAGGTAATTTCTTTTCCAGTGCCCTTATCCATGGAGGAGCAGAGGAATCTAGCAATATTAATCTTGATAATCCCCTTGGAAAAAATACTAATTTTAACCAATACAGAATCACCGCTAACCATAGCCTCACCTCCACCATTATCATACTTGATTCTAGATGCAGGCAGGCATTAGGTATACCATTAGGCACTTGTAAAATTGTTCTAAAAAGTTAGATTGAACTGTGTCCAATTTCCTGATGTTTGATGTAACATTAATTGGGCTCCATAGGTAAGCTGGGCCAGGGATTTGGCCTTAAACACTCTTAAAGCTGCTAGCATGCTTTTGCCCCCCTTGTGCCAATAGAAATTTTGGATTGCCCCTGAGCTCCTTTTCGCATCAAAAACAACATAGTTTATATTAACCATTCTCAAGCAGTTGGCCTGAAAGAAGACCCCTAGATATTTAAAAGATAAGACTTTTCTATGGGACTGGCATCAAGAAACCAGCAATATATTTTTGGAGTTTTGT